AATTTTGGCATTCTGTGGGCGGTATTGTGACCTTGAGCAGATCTTAGAACAAATTCGATCAGAGTGGCTCTCTACCATACTCCTGTAGTATACTGTCTCCGTGTCATCAGCGACAGATCAAGGGTAATACTATCAGCACACTGAATTCAACCAAAATATTAATCGATAATCTGAAAACTAATAGTGTATTCGGAATCCCCATGCTCGATTACCTCCCTGTGCAAACTCCCAGCCCCGTAGCTGAACTTTGCAAAAAAATCGATAAAGTCGATAAAAGTAATCGATAATCCCGAAAACCAATATTGTATTCGGAATCCCCATGCTCGATTACCCCCCTATGCAAACTCCCAGCCCCGTAGGTGAACTCTGCAAAAAAATCGATAAAAATCGATAAAATCGATATCGATCGATGACGAAAAGTAGCCTATGACACTCGCCGGGGCCCGAAGTGTATGTGTGCCAAGTTTGGTCCGGATCGGTTCAGAAATGGATTTTTCTATTCGGAACATACGTACAGACAAACAGACAAACAGACGTTCAGCTTCATATATAAGATGATGCGTCTCGTCGAGCTGAATCGAACGGTGTCCTCGGATTCAGAATTCGTCCATTCTGAAGCGAGATATGGCTAAATTGACGATCATTCCGGCGCACTGCGGCGGAGTGTGGCGCACTCTGCCGCACTCCGGCGCACTCCGCCACACTCCGCCACACTGTGGCGGAGTGTGGCGGAGTGCGCCGCAGTCCGGCGACTTTTTTGACGAATTATGAGCGGTATTGTATGTTTGTAAACAATTTTTTTGTCTTAATACGCTGTAGGCGTAATTTTTGAAATGGTTGCGTATATGTGTTAGGAGTTTCAACAGTTCGAGAGTAATTGGTTTGACACTACTGCTAGCTGCTCCCGTAATAAATCTGAACTTAATGGGGTTCTTATGAAGTTTAGGGAGGCAATAAATTCTGAGGATGTCGCTTTGGGTAAAGGGTTTTGGTTTAAGAGCTTTTACTATGCCCTTATGTTGATTCAATATTGCTCCAATATCAATTTTGTCTCAAGCCTGGTTATAGCGCTGTTTTGTACGTTATTGGTTAAGCCCATTTCATTTTTCAAAATGTTATATACAGGTTTTTGCAGACTATACCATAATTTGAACTGGCTTTATCTAATGGGCATAGAATAAAATATTTTTAAATGTGCTTTGTTCTTTATTATTCAATTTTTCAGTTATATTTTCATTACTTGTATGTAAGTGTTTATTTTGTAAACGAGATAGACCATTGTTATAAAGGTATCTTATCATATTTGCTTCTGCAGTTGTTAAATGTAATTTCATTTTAAGTTTGCTTGTCAAATTTTCGATGAGTTCTTTCCAAATTTCCCGAATAGTGGAGGTGGAAAAGGGATTTTGTAGTCTATATTTTGTTCCTTTTTGTAACAGTGAATGTAGTGAGAATTGTTTGATGATGTCAATATTACCTGTAATTACATGACCATAATCTATGTTTATGTAGCTTTCGAATTCCGCACATATACACGAGTTATTTTCATCCTGTACATTTCTCCATGATTTGAGGAATGAGTTATAATTGAGAATTCTTTTGGAGATGGGATCTGAATATTGGTAAATAATACGGAACTGCGGAAACTCTTTGTTTTTGATATGTAGTCAGATACACTTAAATTATTGATGAATTTGTTGATGTTTAAAGTATCTAAACTCTTGCTATAATATGGGAATTTTACATGTATGTAATTCCTTTTTACTTTATCTTTTTCAGGTTTTTCATTTCGAAATATATGAAAACAGAGTATGCTCATCAAGACAATTTTGTCGTTTTGATTAAGTTGTAGTTGTTCCGGATGATAAGTCATGATGCTTACAAGTGTATCTATGTACTGACAAGGGGCGGACCCAGAGTCGAAAGTGCGAATTGAGGTAAGCTATATATCATTTGAATCAGCGTGAGACGCTGATTTCAAATCTGTATTCCTTATCTGCCAAGCGGTTCTCTGAAAAGAGTTATGAGCCCCAGTTTCCTCGTTGACGTGTCAAGTTGCGTTAAGTACGATCCGCACCTGAAAACCAGTGTGGTCGTCTGGTGTAGTGGATAAGCGCGGAGCCTATGGAGCAAATGGTCGAGGGTTCGAATCCTTTTCCCGTTCAACATTTTTGCAAGTTAAGAATATGTTTGTTTTGCGCTATAAGGGATATCCCGGCCACATGTACGGACTTCAGATCATATTCTACTGCTGAAAAGTTGGGATTTTCGCGACTTTTTTTCACAAGGTTTTAGCCGCTGGTATGACAGTCAGCGGTATATCTTACGTATGTGAGTGAGAATGTGCTGTGAATTTTTACATAATTTCTGCTGCAAATTAACATTTTCAATCGTTACAGAGTCTCACTGACAAATTTTTGGTAACCAGACATTTATGCGCATCTATGATAGGATAGAACAAAGTGCTCGAAACAGAGCAACTTCTCGCAATGAGCACACTTGATGAAAAATAATTGAATGCAGTCACCAAATTCATAGTTGCCCAATATGGAAGGCGAAAACAGTACTGAAGCGGATTTTCGAAATGGCCGGGATGGGCTTCTGTGTAGTAACCGGAAGCAAACCATGCATAAGAGGTAAAATTTCTGAATCTTTGCGAACAAATTTGGTGGTATATTAAAGATAAAATCTTAAGTATCGAATCTCTATGATGGAGATTGAATGAAATATCATGAGCCAACACGTATGATGTAAAACGCTCGTACATTGCTTTGAAAGTCAAAAAAAAGTGGACGTCAAGAGGCTGGATCCTTGAGGTAGTACCCGCAGGTATATTCATTATTTTTACCACCTTCCCATCGGGCACCGCCGACTGCATGGCATCGTGATCCTTGAAAGATGTCCAAGGATCAACGATGAGCGGGGTGGACGAAGGGGAGTTGGGTTGCTAGTTCGGGGAGCAAAAAGCAAAGCTCCTTCTTGTCAAACTCACATATCCATATATGTCCAATTTCTTGTTCAACATGTTTACGTTCCCGTCTCAACAAGATTAGCAACTTTGCAGGTCAATCACAAATTTTTCATGATGTATACCTCTGCTTTAGGCAGAAAAATCCTACTTAAAAATACTGCCTCAAATTCTATATTTTATATTGAGAGCAGGCACATTGGCACATTGTCGCACACATACACTAAATTTGATTCCATTGACTGTCATACCAGCGGATAAAACCTTGGTGAAAAAAAAGTCGCGAAAATCCCAACTTTTCAGCAGTAGAATATGATATGAAGTCCGTACATGTGGCCGGGATACCCCTTATAGCGCAAAACAAACATATTCTTAACTTGCAAAAATGTTGAACGGGAAAAGGATTCGAACCCTCGACCATCTGCTCCATAGGCTCCGCGCTTATCCACTACACCATACGACCACACCTAGTTTTTAGGTGCGGATCGTACTTAACGCAACTTGACACGTCAACGAGGAAACTGGGGCTCATAACTCTTTTCAGAGAACCGCTTGGCAGATAAGGAATACAGATTTGAAATCAGCGTCTCACGCTGATTCAGATGATATATAGCTTACCTCAATTCGTACTTTCAACTCTGGGTCCGCCCCTTGTGAGTATTTTTGGATTTTAGAAATTCAAAAACATCATGTATGATATGTGCAGTGAAAATAAACCAGTTACTTCATCACTAAAGTGGAAATAGACTGTGCTACCGGTTTATTTTTGGTCTTTGTTCTACTTCTATCTTTTCGTATTTTAATGATATTTAGATTGAAGAAAGGGTGATTTTTGGAGTGTTTGAGTGGATTATGCATTGTGGTTAGATTTCCATAACCTTTGATGTTGTCGCTGAATCCGAATGGGAAGGGTCATAAGTAGCCTTATTCAGAAAAGTTCTTTATCTCTAAGGATATTTGAATCCGAATTTTCTGGAAGATTATCAAGAATTGATATGCGTATGTTATCAACAGAGCAATTGTGGCTAACAAAATGTCTATAAAACAGCTTGCTAGTAACCTTCTTATTTATACCTCTGATGTGTTCCATCATTCTGAGTCCAAGTTTTCTGGTGGTTATTCCCACATACTGGAGGCCACAATCCTGGCAGGTTATGCAATAGACTTAATGGATTGACAATTGGCCTCCGTAGTTTTGTATGTGTTTATCCTGAAGTTTGTAGTGTTAAATTGTATAATTATTGCGATCAAGGTATTTACATATGTTACAATTATTCTTGCAATCATTGCCTTCATGTGATGTTCCGAAATTCAGTAGGTTGTATGTGCCGTTTACCTTACTTTTGTAAAAGACGCGCTGCTGAAAGTACCTAAGATTTGAAGCTTGATTTTGGATATTGTTTTTAGACCTAGATCTAAGGCAAGGAATGGCCTCATCCCCTACCAGAGGGAAGGTTACCTAAAGGTTTCGGAAGGTTTGCTTCCTGGGGGCGGTACTCCCAAGAAATAGCACTACCGGGGGCGCAGCACTTACCCTCCCATGCGAGTGACTACTTTTATGAACCTCATCGGTAGTACTATGTAAAAGGTGCACAAGAAAGTGTGAGTGAGTGAGTGCAAAAAGTACAAAAAAAGCTTAAACCCACCTAGTAGTAAGGTAATACAACCTAACCCCCTTATGTTTGGTAGCTTAGTAGTATATTGTTAGCGTTGTGATTAACTCATTAGCTTAAATTGTTGACAAAATGGTTTGCATGAGTGAAGTACTTGTAGATAACATGCTACATTAACAATTGTTTAATTATTATGACCGTATCTCGATATGTTTGTGTCCTAGAAATTGTGAAGGCCTAAAAAATTTTTTGGGTGAGGATGTTTGCTCACTTTCGTCATTATCTCAACTCTCTACTCGCGGTGCGGCTGGTTTACCTAACTTGGATCCTAACGTTCTATTTGTTGTATCTAGGGTATCTACATCAGTGTACTCACTGCTCGTTATTTGTGAGTTCTCAATGGTAACGAAGCTTTTTAGGTTTAAAATGAATCCTTATCGCGTTGAACGATTTATTGAAGGTGTTCATAAGCGTGTCATGAATGAGTACATCCGTATTGTAAATATACCAATATCTATGCGTAAAGAATTTTCTCTAATGCTGGAAGATTTTGTCGTCATTGTGGGGTGAGTTCTTGTAAAAGGAACTTCGTTTCTGATTAACCTTGTTATAGTTACGATAAAGATAGCGAACGTGATTATAACCCTCTAAGTTGGCCGAGGCCAGCCGGTATAGGGGCCAGTACCAAGTGTTTGCAGGTAAGTGTGTGGATTTGGATATCTTGTGACTAGTTTAACGTTGTTTACAGGCAAAGGTGACGTATAAGTTCTGGAGGTATTTCACCAGTATGGGCAAGACTGAACTTGGTGAATATAATCGTGAGCACCAGACCAACATAGTCGTCGTACAGGAAAAGACGCTGAGAATGAACGATCAGAACCGGCTGTGGTAACTCAGACAATCAAAGGCTATGGTGAGGCCGCGATAAATAGCAGTTTCACTGAGCGGGCGGCGATACTGCAAAAGTGGCAGTGAGCGGGCGACGACATTGTAGGAATGGCGGTGAGCGGGCAGCGACGGGCTACCAGCGGGCAGCTATAATCTTCCATGAGTCAGAAAATAGCTGCAGAGCGCATTCATTCCTACAAAAGCAGCCAAAAAGCGACGATGAGGCAGCGACTCCGTTAAGCTGGCAGCGACCGTGAAACGATGGGGCTGCGAATACAGGATTTCTGTCAGCGGGCCGCATCAATGCTATGAGAAGGCAGCCTTAATTCATAACGCCGTATTGTGGCTGCCAACTGGAAGCCATATCGTTGCCCTCTCGAGACATTGTTGATCGCACCAGAAAAGTTAGATGTGCAGGCAAACGAGATTGGCAGTTTAGGCTTGCGTCATTTTTTCATTTCTTGTTGCCTAATCTTTGTTTTCAATTAAATTAGAATGTTATTCGCGCTGTACTCTCTTTACTTGTCTTCCTAGGCTCATGTAATATCACTTTTATTGGCTTTCTATGATATTTGCTTGTTTTATTTTAGTCTTTCGTCATTGAGCTGCATGTTTATTCTTTTCTGACTGGCTCAAACGCCGTTCCTAGGAAGGTGGAATATCCCCTCTTATCTTAACCCTCTTGCATTGCGTACATGCGTAACTGCTGTGATGCACAAACATCGCTAAAGATACTTACTGAGTTTGTATCTCGACAAGCAGGGAATTCAAGTGATACGCATTGCTTACGCTGTAACTGACAATGAGGATTCAAAAAAGTACTCGAACTTAAAGCTCAGTGATCATAATGAACCAATCACGACCAAAATAGGAATTCATATGTTTATTATGAGAAACATTACGGCAATTGGAGAAAATTCCGTCCTAAGTCATTTTGATAAGTCTAATTCGGTAGTTTTTAGTTAGTTTGTTTCCCCTCCTAGAAAGAAATTTGACTCTTGGTCAAAACTCTCTTCAACGCTTCATTTATGAGTATGTGACTGACAATGACCAACAATACGTACACAGCTTGCTCATACCAGTACGGCAGAAACAGTGGTACTCCCACGGTGTGCGTAATTTTCCAAAACTAACAACGTTTGTAAGCGTTTTCATAAGCATTACGAGTCAACTTCAGAAAGGAAGAAAGCTAGAAGTGCAAGAGTAATTACAAGACCTAATGTGGCTTCAAACACGAGACAAAATTCCGGAAACCGACACCTTTTTTCAAGTTGTACACTTTTGAGTGGCTTTAGATTATAATCTTACGATATCTTTCTGATTCATATTCTCATAATTGATCTGAACTTTGCCGGTATACGTCTATCTCATTGCATAACAATACTTGTAATTGTCTATCTCATCTCTTCTATCTCATTCCATATTATATGCCTTTACGATTCCGACGCAGCTGGTGCTCTCTACGCATAATATCTGCCTTCCAATCTGCCTTAATCTGAAGTGATCTGAAGTTTGATTGATTTTGATCTGATATATAATATGCTATGGCATCATACGCACCTTTACAGTCCAGATCAAATCAAATCATCACCAGATTTTCATCTGATGATGATTTGACTTGATCTGAAGTGTAACGGCGCGTATGATGCCATAGCATATTATATATCAAATCAAAATCAATCAAACTTCAGATCACTTCAGATTAAGGCAGATTGGAAGGCAGATATTATGCGTAGAGAGCACCAGCTGCGTCGGAATCGTAAAGGCATATAATATGGAATGAGATAGAATGAGATGAGATAGACAATTACAAGTATTGTTATGCAATGAGATAGACGTATACCGGCAAAGTTCAGATCAATTATGAGAATATGAATCAGAAAGATATCGTAAGATTATAATCTAAAGCCACTCAAAAGTGTACAACTTGAAAAAAGGTGTCGGTTTCCGGAATTTTGTCTCGTGTTTGAAGCCACAGCCAAGTGCCTTATCGCCTCACTGCTGCTTCCCGCTGAGAACTTTAGAAGCGAGCGGGCTACAAATATGGCACTGAGCGGGAGGCTAAAGCTGGCAGCGGGCGGACTGCTATGAGGGCTTCAGCGGGAAGCGAAAGTGGCCGCGATAAGGCCACGGCGCTTTTGGTGGGTTTTCGCGGTGGCTTTGTGGCTGCCGGCTGAGAGCCTGTGATTGTCTGAGAAGTGACTGGATTTCATATAAGGTGTGATATGTTTTGTTTCAGCTTGTTTTTGCGAAATCTCATCAAGGAAAAGTATCGTGAGAAGCAGAAGTCTCCGATAGACATGAAGATAGAGCAGTGGAGGATTGAGTTAGTTGGTGTAGGAGTGGTGAGTACTATTGTTATTTTCTGTAATCAATTGAAAAAGTTTTTCCAGTTCGATCCCGTCATACTTGCTAGAAGACTGGACTTCGATTACCGAAACTGGAATGGATTGCCGTTTGATGTGATTATCGATTATAGAATCAAGAAGGACAGTTTGGTGAGTGATAGTTAATTATAATTCCTTGTTCTTATTGTACAAGTTTTTATAGGCTGGTAAACTTCCAATAGGGCCATTGACATTGCCTGGTCTCGAGGAGAATAGAGAAGCCGAGAGTGAGAGTTATTCTGAAGTTGTTGTGAGTTCAATTTTCCATTATCACATGCGTGATAAAGATGTTTCTTTCAGAATCGTGGCGTGAAACGTGTAAATGCGGACTCGAAGTCGAATCCTAGGAAAAAGAAGTCATAAGGGTGAGTTAGATTATTTTTTATTTGAGGTAAAGGAGATAGAAGTGTTTACTATATCTCTTTTTTTATTTTTTTATTATTCTAGATAAGGCAAGGTTGTTGCGAGCACTTGTATTGCTTAAAGTGCGTGTACTCTAGCAGTATCTCCGTTTTTGCAGGTGACATTTGAGATCTTATGGTTCTGTCTGATTTTGATTATATTTTTTCGCTTTGTCGATGTGTACACTCTTATTGTTTCTTTAGCTCGGTGGGTTGTTTACCGGTCATTCTTTTTGTGCCTAATTTTTCTATCTTACTACTCACTTTGAGTTACTTCAGCAATAGTAGCTCAGTTTTACCTATGCTTAACACCTTGAAATTGAGTTGTTTCGATGAATCTCATCGATCATTAACTATGTACAATGCAGCGATCCCTATGAACGTGTCTTCGTAATCGTATTGTCGAGAATCTCAGTCTATCCGGTGTACAGTCTTTTTCAGCCCGGACTAGGCGAAACATCCCAAGTGGAGCAGCGCGTCCGCACCGCACTGGCTCAGCGAGACAGATTAGAATGAAGAGACGCAGACTGCAAAGCGGCGAGAATCGCTGCGAAGCGGACTCCCGCCAGTCCTATTTCCGCCTAAACTGAGTTGAAACTTATTATATGTGTATTATTTCATCGAACATGACTCATCGGTGGTTTCGTGAACGAGATGTTGTAAATCCGTTCGATCTGTATGACGTTTGCTCAAATAGATACTAATACTAGTCTTTGCTGGTCGATCTTCCGATGAGAGTCATGTGAATACTTGACAATGATGTGTTTCAATTGTACGAGTAAAATATTACTAGTGGAGTGTTCGAAGTTATCATGTATACCAATAATGTGTTGATATGTCATACTTTGTTTTTCTAGGACCTCCGCCGTCAATTTGATGCGAAACAGTCATAGAGACTATTCTGGTATGTCGAAAATGTAAATAGTATAACAGTTATTGTGTGGAGACAAAGGAGTCAACTTGTTAACGAGTTTCTTTCGGATATGACTGAGTTTAGTCTATTGAGTGGAGTTTGTAAATTCATTTGGAAACGTCTAATATAAAGGTTCTTCGCGTATGAGTTGTAAACTGGACTCATTACGTAGAAAGGACTTATGCTAGAAGCGTTTGATTCTGTACGATTTGTTTAGGCGTTCTCACAAATAGAGACCAAACTCTGCTAGTCATTATGATGAGTCATGCTTTTTCGGTAATGATCTGTTTCAGTTGTACCAGCAAAATGTTACTGGTAGAACGTTCGAAGTTATGAAATCATTATGATGAGTCATGCTTTTTTGGCAATGATCTGTTTCAGTTGTACCAGCAAAATGTTACTGGTGGAACGCCGAAGTTATGAAATAGTTCTAATTGTAGAATGGAGTTGTAAGATCACTTGGAATCGTCTAAAATAATGGTTCTTGCGTAGGAGTGGATTGGAATCATTACGCCATGAGGATTTTTGCTAAAAGCATGTGATTCTGTATGACCTGTTTCTGCGCCCTCCCAAATAGAGACCAATCTTTGCTAATCGAACTTCTGATGAGTCATGCTTCCTTGGCAATGTGTTTCAATCGTACCAGCGAGAGTTCAACGTTACGTAACATCAATAGTGTGTTTGTATTTCATACTTTGTTTTTCGGGCTAGGACCATCAAAATGACTCGAAACAGGCATAGAGGGTATTATCTAATCTCAAAGATGTAAATAACCGAACAGTTACTGTATGGAGTCAAAGGAGTCGACTTGCCGAGTTTCATTCGGCTATAGCTGTGTTCTGAATATTGGATGGAGTTTGAAGGATTCACTTGGAATCGCATAATGCAACGATTTATTGCGTAAGCATTGTATCATGGTCTCATTATGCTAAAAGGACTTATGCTAACGAATCACAAGCTGTATTTGTGCTGTAAAAGAATATCTGAAGTAGCAAAAACATTGTCAGTTGCGACAAATGGGAAATTTTGATCTTTCAATTTTAACATCATGTCTTGTGTCATATGGGTTGCTGAATGAGTCATCAGCAGTTATTCGTCGGAAGCAGTATTGCAAAAGAGATAAGAGTCTGCCTTGAATTCGACAAGAAAAAGGAGTTTTTTGAATTTGACTAGAGAGTCTGCTTTAAGTTCGACAAGGAAAAGGAGTTTTTCTGAATTTAACTATCTTTTGAGTTTCTTCAGGGATAATGTGTGTGGTCACGTATACACGTATACATTCTATTTGTCCACTTTGTAGTATCACATTAACTGTGGCAAAATCAAGTAAAGGAACAAAGAATTTAGAGAGTATATAATCTAACTTGATATATCGTATCATTATTGAACATTTTTCTCTTTTTACATCATAGTGTGATTCAGTAGTCAAAGGACTCAAATGTAAATGTTCGTGTTCAAACTACAATATGTGAAGAAATAACTATCCTGTTGGATAGTATGGACCAGTTGGTCTAATTGGCCAGTTGGCCTAAGTATGTAAAGACAGACTATGCGGATTAAGCATTATGTTATCAAGATGCTTTAAGACAGTATCTGTGCCAGGAGATAAACAAGCCCCGGGTAACCCTCACAGGCTTGTTATCTCTGACATGGTTATAATAGAAAGAATGTTTCGGTTTCGCCTCTGCCCCTGGACAGGTAGAATATAAACACTGATTACTCCCGAGGCTCATCAGTAGGGAGGAGTGATGAATGTGTCAGTGCTGGAAACTGGGGGTTTATATAGTAAATAAAGTAGGGCAGGTAGGCCAAAAAAGGGACGGGGGAAGGAAGGTCAAATGATTGAGATTAAAAAAGTGTTAACTTATTATTAATCTTTTGAACAGAACTCTAATGTTCTTAAATTTTTGGATTTCTGGATACTTGTATTTAACTTGAGTATTGGATCTAACGAATTTTAGAAAGGCGCCGGTTATTGAATCTTTTTTATAGTCCAATTGTACAAGTTGTGTCACAAGTTGACTGAATCTGCACTTGAAATCTGTGAATCGTGTGCAAGTTCTGAATATTCTAAGTATTTCTGTGTACACAATTGCTATCTTTTGTTTGTAACTGATATGTGAACTACCATGACTAAATTTGAATACGTTAAAATTAAACCGGCAGTTTTGTTGTACTGTTTAGTGACTAGCTCATTATTAGTAATCCTAATATTGAGATCTAGGAAAATGCATTCATGTGTGCTTATCTGTGTGGTTTTAAGGTCTAGGATGTTATTGTATGTGTCATGTAGCATCTCTAAAACTGTTTCAGTACTATAGTTGTGTATAATGAGGTTATCATCCATATACCTAAAGAGTTTGAATATGCTTTCATCTCTGTACTTATTTGAAGCGTAACCGTATTCCAGATAGGAAAGTGTTGAATCTGCAATTATTGGGCTGGTATTACCGCCTTGGGGCACTCCTTTGGTTTCAATGAATAACCTGTTACCAAGTGTGCAGTAACTATTATTAAGTATGTAATCTAATAGGTACAAGAGGTCTTGTATCCTGTAATTTCTGGCGTTTGTTTCCTTGAGAATATTGGAGTAATATGTTCTGTTTCCTTTGGTAACTAAGGTACTCACAATTTGCATTACGAAAGCATATCTTTAGGATTTCTCTAATACTAGTAATGATGGTTGACTCGTTCCTGGTCTGTTTTCATTACAGGTCTGCCTGTTTCTGGTCTATTTCTTGCTGGCCCTCGCTTGTCGACTCTCTGTTTCGGACTTTGCTTTCCCCACTTCGCTTTTACGGCAACCGCTTCCCTTTTCTACTACGTGGGTTCACGATTTCATGTTTTTTTCGATTTATCGTGTTCGTGTTTCTCGGTTTATCGTGTTTACTAATCATGTTTTGCTGGCTTGTCACCCACTTCCGGATGAGCAACAGCACTGCTCTTTAATACCGTAGACAGCTGCGTTTCATACATGGCTTTCCCAGAATAAGACAGGTGTTTTCAAGCGTCGGTAGTGTCAGGTTGGTGGATACCTGGCAGGAACAGGAACCAATCGCAGGCGTTTTGGACAGTCCACAAAAGTGGTAATGGCACTCTCCAATGCCAATCACCTGACCTCTTTTGACCAAATAAAAATTTTTCTTTCTCAACACGTGAGGCCCTTATTCGCTGTTTCTTGTTCTGGTGAAAGGTGACAGGCTAGTCTCTTACTCTAGCAATGTTTCGTCACTCACAAAGGCTTTGGCACACGTTTACGTGTATGAGAAAAATAAAGATAAGGAAACGACGATTATTGAAGAAACAAGCTTTTTCGTCCTGTGAAAGAAATAGGTATAAAGTACTGCGTTGATATCGCGGAGTCACCGCAAAGAATACACATCGCCAACCCACAATTTTTAAGAAATTGCATCTATGCACTTGAGTGAGTATGCAGTAATTAGAGCTTACTGTTTCATTTGCAAATTGAGGTCATGGGGCTGATTATAAGAGCACAATCAAATGATGTGATTACTACTTTTTAACAAGGCTCGGCACAGGTGGCTTGCAAAGCAAGCTGGATATCGTTTTTGGGGGAAAAAGCAAAGTGGATGTCGTTTTTGCGGAAGAGCATAACGCTGTCTTTCGATCTGCTGCCGGCACGATGCCGGCATGCCGCAAGCAAATAAACAAAGGGTTTGTTTACAACGAAGTGGAGATGAAATGGCACCAAAATAGGCGTGTAGATGGGCAGTGGGGGGGGGGGGGGGTTGGGACTATGTATGAAAAATTATGAAAAAATTATGTTAAGGGCATGGCAAACTTTTTTTGGGGTTAGGTGGCTTCCAGCCACCTGGATAGCCACCTGAGGTGGCTTAGCGCCAACAAAGTCATATAATTCCTATCCTTCACATAATTTTTCAAATTTTCTACATAGAGGTAATCTACATCTAATATTCTACAAAACAGCTCTTGTACCTCCCCAAACCCTCTCTTCCCCGCGTAGTTATAGCCCTCCAAATCATCTGGATGGCAGTGGCAAAGCTGCTCCAAGGTCGCGGTGGTGCGCGGCGGACACAGCATGCCGCCAACCCGGGGAATACAAACAGTCAATAGTTCTTATCGCCTATTTATTGTCGATCTTGTATTCTATTCCATTCTTTTTGTTTTCAAGTTTGATGTATTCGTTAGCGTTTCAAGGGGGATGTCGTACTTTTGTGGCGAAGTCAAGGGGCACTTCGTTTTTTGCATTTTCAACTAGCCATCTCGTCCCGAGTTCTGCTTTTCAAAGTGATAGCAAAGGATTGGAGCACACCATACTTGGTACTATAAGTAGAAAAACAAAAATGATTGTGACGTCGTTGAAGCAAATGTGATGCAATCTATTAGCAATCGCTAAGGAGCTTGCTGTAAGTGACTTAATGACACTGAACAGATGATCCAATTGAGTTTTTTCATCACTGAAAAACACCACTTATCTCCTCTAGATAAAAACTTGTCATCAAATCTACGGCTCACTTCAGAAATCATAATCGGCTAAAAATCTGGCTGAAAGACGTTAACGAAACATTTGCCATAACTGAATATCATATTTAAATGAAGGTGAGCAGAATGGAGCTACGAATCATGAACACCCAGAAAGGCATGTGATCTAATGGCCCTAAAGAAGTGAAAACCATGAGTACTAGAGTTAATACTCGCTTTAGAGCAATTAATTTTTTTACCGTCTTTGGTGTGAGTTCAAAACAAGCATCATGCAGATAATCATAGCGTGTTCTTGTAATCATATGTTTAGACATAAATTTAAAGCATGTTATCAAAAAAGCCACGAATTCCGGAGAGGAATGCGTTTTGGGCGTTCATTCATCAAGCCTTGAGCGAAGTAAGTATTTGCATCTGGGATACTTTATTTGAAAAACATACGATTTTTTGACACTTAACTTTTCGGTAGAAAAAATGATCTTGTGCGTCATCTTCATAAAAATACCATTCGATTTTGAGCATTGCAAAATTCATTCAATGGCAATGCATATAGGGTGATTGTTGTTTGTGAAACAAAGACTTCCTCCATGTCGATTGGCAAAATCATCTGAAAGCTCCGAAAACATCGTAGAATTGTCATTCGACACACTTGCTCACAAGCAACGGACACACTTGTCACGAATTGCGGTCTTGGTTCAAGGATCAACATAAGTTTTTTCGTGACATTAACAGTCAAGGGATTTTCCATCTAATTTTTCAAATCTGATTACATATAAGCGATTAAAAGAAGTACTCGCATATGACTGATATGGGACTTTATTTGTAAGTGTATAAAAGGAGAGTGTGTTCGGTCGGTCATACGTTCTCGATTTCTCGCTTCAAATGTTGTAGGGCTTGCCTTCCACGAATATTCCTATTGATGTCAAAGAGGTAAGCCCTCAGAAGCCATTACAGTCAACATAACATAACCCTATTTTGCAGCTGCTTATACAATGCTGAGAAAGATATTATGTGATAGGTGAAACCGAAATGTTGACCTTTTTTTCTGGTATCTTAGTACAGCCTTTATTTAAAGAGGTGCATTTATATTAGGTGGGTTCAAAAGTTTTGTCAGTTTTTCAATCCATCGGCAAACACGCTGGAATAGAGATAAATAAACGCTTCAAAATGCGTCTAATGCAGAATTTCTTTCTCTTTCTAGCCGTTGAACTCCCATTGTGTTACGTTGCGAGAATAACGAGATATTCGCTGGAAATTACAACCACTCGTTTTTACCATGTTCAAAATTTGCTAATTTTCAAAATTTTTGTATGAGACTTTCGGAGGAGCCCCAATAGCCAGCAGATAGGGCCAACCTTTCGCCAACTTATGCAATTTTTTCTTTTTATCAGCTGCTTTTCCAGATTTTTGCTAAACAATTTTCTAAAAGTTTTGTGTTTTGGAAAAATTGCATAACCTGTTATTGCACCAAACACTGCAAAACCTACAGAATACTGAGGTTTTGACATTCGATTATTACTACCGCTACCATTACAAAGTAAATGAGCGATTTTCGCTTTAAATTATGAAGATTTCGAAACATAGGTTACGCCAGTGCGCACTCCTGAAATTAGGAAATACGATTTCCCCACAAATTTCTCCTGTCTCGGCAAAAAAGACAATTATTAGAAAAAGGAGAAGAATCTGCATCGAATGGTGCCTGAAGTGTTTAACACATTTTATGTTCTACGAGGTAAAAACAGGCTGAATGTATAATTTGGTCACACCAAAAAATAAATCGTAGAAATTCTGAAAGACAAGCCGTTGGGCATAAAAAATTGCTTCTGTTAGCAAAAAGTTGCCTTATCTGCCGGTTATTATGGCCCTCCAAATGTCTCATACAAAAATTTTGAAAATTAGCGAAAGTTGGATATGGTAAAAACGAGTGCTTGTAATTTCCAGCAAATATCTCGCCACTATCGCAACAAAACACAATGGTAATTCAGCAGCTAGAAAGAGAAAGAATTTCTGCATTAGACGCATTCTGAAGCGTTCGTTTATCTTCATTCTAATGTGTTTGCCGATGGATTGAAAAAGCTAACAAAACTTTCGGACCAACCTAATATTACAAATTTGAGTTAACAATGAATTTCTCTCTTTTTACAATCCTACAACTTTACTTCTTGGCCAGCACAGAGGCACTCATGTGTGAACTTCCCGATCCTCTAGTGAATGCAGCTTTGCTATGCAGAGTCGAGGTAAATACTTTAAAAGCTTGCAGATTGCAGTACATAGGTTCTTGTATGTAACGCAAGAATTCTGATACTTGAATGATCATTGAAGCGACTTCCTTTTCAGCTTCTCCTTTTCTCTTTGCAGAGTCCGAAAGAAGAAACAAGTCCCTGCTTTTGAGAAAAACGCAATTCAATCAAATAGCCCGCGCAGTTGGTGCGATCAAGGGAGAAATCGTAAAATGAAAGCGGCAAAGGGGTAATCCTTCACAGAGCACTATTTGCCATCTTCGTTCGGGCCTTGCACATTTCTGGCAACTCTACAAATTCTATTCGTAACCTTCATCATTGAGGTGTTTGCGAGTTAGAAGTACCTCAAATGCTTTTGTAAAGCGCATGATATCTTTTTTTGGACAAGTTCAAAATTTCAGAAAAGCAAACGCTTCGGAATGTAAGAGGCTATAAATTTCTGAGAATAGTGCTAACACATTTTCGGGTCAACCTAATATCTTGACGGAAGCGTTTCTACGAATATTGGATATGAGATTTATCATACTACGTACATCTCACTTTAAATGGTCTCTGAAACTAGTATTTTTCGTGAACTGAAGAAACGGCAGACATAGGTATCATAAGTGTGAAACAAACTCAATGGTATAGATTTTACCAAAGGTGTCCGCATCATGAAAATAATCGGCTACTGCAATAGAGAGGGAGTCATTTAGTTGGAAGATGTCAAATGCCCATAATTTGAACAGCTAAAGAGTTTTTCATTCACTTTCGCACTTTCACACTACACTTTAGATCTTACTATCGTGTCCTCACCGGTGTACGTTAGGCGGAATATGCAGAATCTACGTTGGTGAACATGATCAACCTCTTCTGCACGTTGTTTTTTGTAATCTCTCGCTATCAACACTGCTACGTATGATAATAGCATATAACGTGGCAATTTAGAGGGTACAAAGAACCGTGCTTTGCAGTAGAGATTGGTAAGTAGTCTTAAATATGTCTTCACTGGAAGTTTTCCGGGCACAAAAAGCGAGAAAACAGATACTTCAAAAGTGGTATCCTCCTCCCCCCCCCCCCCACCAGCCTCTCCCACATAGGTCATTGTACACTACTACTTATACTAAGCCTTACTTAGTATAATCTCAAAACGTTTGTGCGCTTTTATAATCGAGAAATACCAGGTTTGACATAGAAAACTCAAAAAGAGCATTTCGGCATTTTCACACCATTTTTGTTTCTCAATTTTGAGCCCCGGAGAAAATCCACCAAATGCATTTTTGGGTAGTACTGTGTGTCTATTATAAAGGATGTCCCAAAAAATGTGCCTATTCTTTGATTGTGAATAACTCCCTTGTAATGGAGTGTTTCCAGAAGCTCTAGATGACATTTGTAGAGCGAGGTTAAACTTCGATTTGCAGTATGGAGCGAATCATCTATCGCTCTTCATTACTGTAGGATTACGGTACGAAATTAGACAAGGATTTTAGGGCCATTGGAGGCTATATTCTGCCTGGGAACAAAACCGAACAAGCCAAAAACTTTTATACTACGGTAAAAGGAGCCGCTGATCCCGAATTTGAAATTTTCATTCTATTGTGATGCTTCTTTTCAGAGTTATCCCCGGTAAATCGTAATAACTCAGTTCCCAGCATTTGTCAGAAATGTAATTACACCGTCAGAAAAGCTGGAAACAATCGTAAAAAGTTGTTAGGTGGAATCAGCACGCGCGAAAATATTAATACACGATTTTTCAGATTTTTTGAAAAAAATTTCATTAGGTGGTAAATTTCACATTAAATCCATATGCTGGAAGTTCTTACCGTAATCCTACAGTAATGAAAAGCGATCAATGATTCGCTCTATGCTGTAAATCTAAGTTTAACGTCGCTCTACAAAACGGTACCTAAAGCTTCTCGAAACACTTCATTACAAGGGAATCATTTACAATCAAACAGTAGGCACATTTTTTTTGGGACACCCTGTATAGAGATCAAGGTGGAAATCCATAGAGACTTTCTGGAAGGAGATCTGATTTCAAGGGTGGTTGAAAAATTTTGGGTTTTGACTCCAAATTTTATCTGGATTATGGCTTAAGTGTATCTTTGGTGGTCTATTTGTGGAGCTCTATCGAATGGTACTCTGAGTCTTCTAGGAAAACAAAAACAGCTTAATTCATCTGAAAATGGTACTTTTGGGACAAACCTGATAGAATCACTGTGGAAAAAGCCGTCTGCCAAAATTTCCTATAAAGTCTCAAAAACTGCCTAGCAGGGTTTTTACGCTTGCTGATTTTACTACACATTTTCGAGTTTGTTGAACGTCTCGAGGGTACGATCCATTTTGAATTGGAAAGATAATTGTTATGAGAGAATACTACTTACGAGAGAATACTACTAATTAAGCATTAAGTGAAATGCTACCCATATCTAAAGTTCGCGACTTTGATTAATCTAATGCGAAAGCTTTTAGCTTGTTTCTTTTATTTTGCGAAGCAAAATATGGCTTTCAATGTCCTAGAATCTTTCTTGAAGTTCCTACAGTTATTCTGCACTAATGAAGAGCGATCGGAAATTTGCTCGTGCTAAGTCTAAGTCAAAGCCAGCTCTACAGAACAATGCCCAAAATTTGACGAAGGCATGAAAGCTAGTGAGCTATCAACGATCAAACTGTTTGCACCTTTTTTGGGACACGTATGTCGTGGAATAGCAAGCTTTAGTAACACGTATGTCGTGGAATAACAAGCTTTAGTAAAGACAGAGTTGTGTATATTGTGCACAACTTTATGAGGTGTTATTTTTGACATAATTTGCGACGTTTCTCTTACAAATGCCTATGAATTTCATAGCAGAGAAATCAAGGTTATCTTTGTTATCTCTTTGCAATCTCGAAATTTTCCTTGCACTAAAAATATCATCTGTTTCTCTGTCAAGTTGTGTCAAAGAAGTTTCTTTCGTTTGTCGTTTTATCGACCGCTCTATGTATTGCCTACTCTCTCAGGACATTTTTTTCAGAGAGTTTACGTCAGTTCGACCAGTATGAGAATTTTCAATTATATCTTCTTGTTACCTACCATATTGATGGTACGACCAAGCAAGACATGACTTAGTTTGCGTTTCTACACCTTGGACTTACTGGCTTTGCAGTACTTCATTCTTTACAGGTTTTCTGTGCTGTAAACGTTGCTGCAAGCCCAGTTATGAGTCGGCAGGAGGCACTTGAACATCTTCGCAAGTTGTTCGCAAAATTCCCCCCCAAAAGGCTCTAACCTGCTCCAAAAGCTATCCACGTCGTTCGCTTGCAGCCTGGAATTCAACAAAAACTCAAACCATTGGGACATTGATATTTCATACTCGATTGTCGATAAACCTTGGCATTGTTGTAGTACAGTTCACAAGCTGCCAACCAAGATTGGTAGCAAGACTTTATTATGCGATAAGCCATCGTCCCGCGCTCCGTTCGCCGCCTTCATTAGGGCTTCATGAAAGATCGAGACTTTGAAAACTTCCCGCTTAAAAGTCCTGTATGGCAATAGATTTATTTTAACTAAATGATGGAGTGGCAGACTAGATGTTGAAAGCCTGACTCCAGCCTTGCCAGATCGGGACATAGAGACCAAACAGCCAGTACTGCGCTGGAGCTGCGCTATGAGTGAGTATGATAGTCAGTGTCAAAATGCCCTTTGTGTGTTATAGTCAGTGTCAAAATGCCCTGTGTAGGGCGTCACCTCCGCTTCGCGGAGGTTCGGATTGGCTCTGCTATCCGTATGCCTTTCTTGTGCTCGCAGAATGATGACTTTGAAACTCACCGTGCGATGCTGAATATCACAAATGAATTGTAAACAACTGTTCATTTTCGAAGCATCTCCATGTAAGATCGGTAATTTTGAGAAAGAAAACTTTTTTTGCAAAGAAGCACCTTCATCTTAATTTGATAGTCATAAGGATAGTCGTCACCTTGGGCTACATTTCCGTGCAAAATAGTGATAGCCGCTTATCGAAACGGCTCGTTTTTGTACATAGTCTACATGCTGATACAGTGTAATATGCAAAATTGTAGCTCAAAAGCTGGGCTGCAGCTCCCTCTATGAATTTCGTGACAGACAAACATACACACATGCACAAAAAGACAGATTGCGCTTTACTGTAGGTGATGATACCCGGGCGGAGCCGTATATATATACAGGTGTCCGTAAAGTATGTATACACTGTTTGATCGTTAACATCTCTTTTCCCAAGAAGTCTTTTGCCTTGCTTCAGGCACCATTTTGTAGAGCTGGCTTCAACTTAGATTTGCAGTATAGAACGAATCACCCAACTCTCTTCGTTACTGTAGGATTACGGTAGAAACTCGAAACATATGGTGTCAATGTGAAAAAAAAACTGCCGTCTCAAAACTTTTCAAATTAATGTGAAAACTGTGTAATAGGGTTTTTATGGACGCTGAGTTCAATACTCAACTATTCACAAGATTGCGAAGCTTTCTAAACGGTGCAACCGCACTTTTTAGGAGCATTGAAAAATGGCCGCTACCTCTTACCTGGCATAACTCTTCAATGAAGCATCATAAGTTGAAAACTTTACAGTTAGAATCAGCAACTCTAATTAGCCCAGTGTAAAAGTTTTCAGTCTGTTTTGTCTCCTTTCTGAGGCAAAATATGACCTTTCATGGCCTAAAACCCTCTTTCAACTTTCTACCGTAATCCTACAGTAAAGGGGAAAGATGGACGATTCGCTCTATACTGTAAATCTAAGCAGAAGCCAGCTTAAAATGGTACCTGAAGCAAGGCAAAAAACTTCTTGAAAAGAGATATCAACGATCAAACAGTGTATACATACTTTACGGACACCCTATATATCATCGGCTTCCAGATTCATGTGGAGGTGGAGTCTTGCCAACTCACCGCGTGACGGTTTTTGCTAGCGAGAGAGTAAGAAAAGCAATGCTATGACGTGGAGTACAAGTTTTTACAAGTTTACCTGTGATCAGGCAAAGTCTGCAATATACCTCCACACGAATCTGGAAACCGATCATACACATATATATATATGTATATATATTAGGTTGTCCGGAAAGCAATGTTCGTTTTGAATTCCAACGGCAACAAATCACACACTTTTCATTCCTGAATAGCTTTCAAGGTATTATTTGATAGAGCAAAGCAAGCTCTACAAGATGGCCTTCTTGCTTTAGCAAGAGCTCTGATCCACCTCGAATTTTGAGCCAAAAGCTAAAAAGATTTAACTGCTCGAAAAATCAAGAAAAATCATAATTCAGTTCGTAAGAATTCTACAAAAATTCTAGCTTGCTCACGTAAACATTATGCACATAAAACATATATGTACGCCTTTGCCATATATTTTCCTTTGTTAGAAATCAAAAAAACGAAAATTTTCATGCTTTTGCAAAAGTGATGCTGTGTCGTCCCCACATAAGTAGATGTATACTACATAGAAGTACAAACGTGGATTTTCAGCTTTTTACAAGCTTTAGTTATCGAGAAATTTGAATTTTAGTTTGGACCACCTGAATAATGAAAGCTATCATAACTTATAATAACGGGCTAAGGATGTTTACGTGACTTTGTGTGTCTGTCTGTGTGAGAGTGTGTCTGTTACGAAATTCGTAGAGCGTGCTCCAGCCAACCTACTGGGCCCAAATTTCGCACAGCGCATGCTACCCGCAAGAAAATCCAACATGCAAAAGCACGAGCAGATTTGTTGTGTGGATCCCTCAGAAACTGCGTGTCAAACGGATCCACTTTTCATTTGGGCCGCAAAATTGGGTCCATAATTCCACTTTTTGTAGAGTCGTGAATGTTTATGCCAAGTAAATGTGCTAGCCATGAACTTAGGCCCAAAAAAGTGATCGAAAGTCCATTACTTTACAAAAACGGCGCCAAAAAGTATTGATTGCATGAATGGTCATTTTGCCGAGGTTTTACCAGAACATTTGACAAGACTTTTGCACAAAGATGTAGCTGACGGTGACTGCTATTCTCATTGCAACTGTTAAGACCATGGGAAAATCAAAAACCTATGAAAATCTGCGTTTGTTCTCCTGCAAAAAGTCTCATCCACGCGAAGTCACCAATTTCACATAAAAAAGCTTTCAGAATGAGTAGTTGTTTACATTTTGTTCGTGATAGTTGGCATCGCTCGGTGAGTTCCAATGCCATCATTATGCGAGAAGGAGTAGAGCCTAGACAGTAGAGCCAAGGCGAGCCTCTGCGAAGCAGAGGTGACAGAGGTGTCAAGTCCAATATGCAAAAGCAGAAGCGAATCCGTTGAGCGGATCCCTCAAAATCTGCCCGCGTGACCGGTCCACATGGCTTTCGACCCATATATTGAAGGCTGCTGTATTACCAGTTGCAAAGGCATGGCTCTGTATCCATGCAAATCTGTGAGTCATAAGTTTCGATGCAAAAAAAGTTGCCAAAAGATCTGTTCTCATACAAACGGCGCCAAGAAGAGATAGCTGGGTAAATCCTCGGTTTTTAAATCTTCTACTCAATAATCTGAAAAGATTTTTGCTCAGATATGTAGCACACAGTAATTGTTTTCAAAGCAGCTACCATTTCATTAGCAGTTCTATAACTATTCGAAAAACGTATTCATTCTTCATTGCCAGAACTTTTTTCGTCTAAGCTCACCGACTTTTAATGGCAGAGCTTCTAAAATGTACATTTTCTAGCACTTCATTTGTAACGTTCGCATCTCTAGGTAAGTTTCATTGCTAATTGAGAGTGGGAGAGAAGCAAGACTTAAGTAGAATTGGATATGTACGCGCGTAGATGTGTAGAAACGTTAGCGCAGCTCTGTAAGCCTTGCTTACTTCTATAAACGCAGCCAATGCGGTCCTGTGAGGTATACGCGCCGCGTCTAAGTACAAGCATTGTATTTATTGGGTTCCATTTTCCATAAACAAAATGAATTGAAGTCTTTCTAAGCCACATTGTCTTTCAACCACATAATCAAGCACATGGGACGGGTAAGAATGAAGATATTGAATTTATGCATGCACAGTGCTAGCTTGCGTACAGAAGTGTTTCAAGTCATGTGGCACCAGCAGTTATTCCGGTTAAACGTTTGTGCCCAAAATATGATTGAATTCCATTTGAGTATGTATGATTCCAACTATCGTACTTAAACAGAGAATGACTATGTGAAGTTCTAATGTGGTTCAAGTTAGGTTATGTGGGAACAACCGCACAGAATTCGAAGAAAACAAAACTTAACAAAACTTAATCTAAATTTTTCCTTAAATGCAATGGGTTCATTGCAATCGAAGTGTTCTAGGCGGTGGGTTATGTGTGATTTCATGGCTCTACCTAAATCAAAAATCATTGGTTCTCAAACTGTGACGAGGCTGAGCCGCTGTACCCCAGCGCTGTCTGTGGATCAGTTACGCACCGAGACTAAACAGCGGTGTTAGCCTAACTAGCGCGTCTTTGCCTCTTCGGAGTTTGGAAGCAATTTGAATTATCTTCTTTTTGTCTTTCCATATTGTTTGTTCAAGCTTTAAGGAATGCTTTGAAAAGTGCCATTTGCATTACTTCTGTCTTTTCTTTCCTGATGTTAGTCACATGAGTCTTTTTACTCTTCAATAATGAGGATCTTGGCTATTTACGTCTACAAGTATGCCAAAAATATATGCACATTTCATATTCTTCATAAGGTTTACATAATCTTAGCTGTCACACATGCTACTATTATATTAAGTCAATGCAAAAGTTCTGTTGCATCATTTTCCAAAAATCATAATTTTATGCTCTCTCTAGATCTGTACTAATTTTGCTAAATAGAAGAACCCTTTTTCTTTGTGGCAGTGCTTTTGATGCTCTCTAATGAAGGGGCAGTTTTTGGTATCGAGGAAGGAAAACAAAACCTTTTCGGTCATTCTGAGCTAGGCTTAAAAATTTGGAACTTGCGGCGACAGAATTCCGAGCAAGCTGTACAATAAGCCTTTTCCACAATATACAACAGTGCAGAGTTCGTGTCAAAGGTTTGACCATGAAGGTTTCTGCAGAGAGTTATAATTTTCAAAAAAGTTAAGTTTGCACCGTTTGGAGAGCAAGAAGTAATTTTTCAATAATGATGCGACAGAATTTCGCGCCTAATATTTGCTGCTCAAAATGGAGTTAAGACGCTTCTGGGAGTTTTCAGGACAAATTTAGGTTAATTTTTTGCCTCAGAGTATAGCTGACGATTTACCATTGGCTCTCGAGTATGTATTTTCAATATTAGGTTCCTTTCTGAGCAGTTCTGTTTTCTACGCCAACGCCGCGAAGGCATTGAGTTATGTAAGTCCGACTGAGGACCTTTTGCTGAAATGTTATGCGGCCGCTTTTCTTCACTTGCTTTTATTGGAAAAATGCTGAGTTC